AAACTTTACCTCGACTTGAGACCAACTCGAGTTGCAACCAGAGTCACGGAACGGATTAAGTTCGTATCCCGAGGTACCACTGTATTATGGCATTAATAATGAATATGTCAGGTGCAGAAGTTTCCAGACCCTTTTAGTTGGTAATTTGTGACACCTCCACCTATTTCCTGTAGCCAGCTAAGAGCCTTTTCTCCCCCTTACATTTCAGTTTTTTCCCTACTCTTCCTTGAAGAATTCTTGTACTACAGTTCAGAAATATTCTTAGGCCTCCTTGCATGCACTACATGTTTGAGATTTGCTGACGTATTTTCAGTAATATTCAGGTATGGGCACTGTGAAGACCACGCCTGAGAGATTTCCTCATAGTCACATTCCCCGAATCAGCTAGATGAATATGCCTTAATGAGTGACCTCTGTTCCGAGATGAGGCCAGGAAGCAGTGCTGTCCTTACTGTTTTAATATGGGCCAGGTAAAGGACAGGGACTGTTGAATTCTCCTGGTTGTGGTGCTCTTCTTATAATATCACCAGCCAGCAGGAGAAACAACCACCAACCACTGTCCTTAATATGTGTTGAGCCAGTCTTAGGGGACTATGGATGGGTGCTGGAAGGAGGCTGTAGGTATTTTTAAAGTGGTGTAGGTGTGCTCTGTGATGGTTGCCACCTACTCAGGCTATTTCTAACATGGGCCTATTGGTCTTCTGGAAGTTCAGGGTTCTGTATCCAAAAATATCCCTGCAAGCATGTTGCTAGATCATAGGAAGATACAGGATGAAGCAGGAATCGGCTTGTAGAACATATCAAGACAGTTCCCTCCTGCTTCATCCCATGTACCTCTTATGCCCCAGCAATTCCTCAGCAGGGATATTTTTGGACATGGGAATACCAGTCTGCCTGAAGATCACTATTCATGTTTGTTTGTTTTTAATTCCTGACTGACAGGTTAGTGGGATGTAGGAGGATGCACAATGAAGTGGGAGTGATCTTGCATAGCACAATGAGAGAGCTGCATTTTGTTTCATCCTATTAACTGCAATATTTTGGGATGCAGTTTCACCACTCTTCCAGAAGACCAGTAGACCTATGATCAGAAATAGGACAAGTGACAAGTCACAAGCACAATGGGGCAGTTCTGAGAAACATCAGGTGCACTCCCACCTCATTTCACCCTCTTGGTTGGTGTGTGACCTGTTACAAAAGGAAACTGGCAGTATACTTGTCAGTTTCACACCAGCTTCCAAATATTTGAAATCATAGCTGCTGCATAGAACAGCAATGCTAATAGTAAATGATCACTAATGGCAGCACATGAAAGTATCCTACAGCATGTGCAAAATTGTATTGAAGTAGAAAAAACAGGCCCCACCACAGACAATAAATACAATAGAAAGTACAGACAAAATAAACCCCTTGTCAGCAGAAAACCTGTAATGCACTCTTTGGGGGCATAACCAGCAACACCCAGCTGGCAAAACTCAGCTTTATTTCCTGGTTTAATTCTTCCTTGCAATCTGCTTCCTTAAACCCAGGTTTACCAGTTTTTCGAAAGACAATTAACCATGTATTTAAAAACACATCAAATGCTCTTCTGGAAGAATGCTAGGCATTATGCAGTCAGATGTTTCTGCAGAATCACATGCAGAATTTGGCAAATTTCTCTTTGCCAAAATGATCCAGAAACTGGTGGGGAGGGGCCATACCTATGGGCCCTAAAAGTGGTCAAAGGGAGTGGGGCAGATTCCTGCCTTGATTGCCTCATCACCAGAATCATCAATGCATCATCGTGCAATATTTGTTCAGCAATACTTCCGCCAGGAGAAGAGGAAAAACACTACTTTAAAACCAGGACAGCTAAAGACAAATGTAAGCTGCCTTGAAGTGGGCTAGGAAAGAGATGGAGGCTGTATCGTGAGAATATATCCTCTAAAAATGATTAGCAGGCCATCTTTGTCTTATGGTAAGTAGCATCTGAGGATGAGCCCACAGAGATTTAACTCTACTTCAACTGCTCTCATTTCAAGCAGGACTTCCACTGTAATGGCCTCAGGGCTTTCGAACCACTACTTTTAAGCAAGAATAAGATTTTGGCAAATGGCTGATCAACTCCTGGTGCTCTTTCTATAATCTTCCCTATTTTGTGGTATACTTTTGTTGTTTCTATTAGAAGGAACTGATCTCAACCATCATTTCCAAAAGGCGGTTGTACGAGGCAGCATCTAGCTGATCTTGGCTGTTATGGAAAAGACTAAGCTGGGTTAGGTGTGCTTAGTACTCAAACCAAGATTACCAGGAAATCTCACAGCTGTAGACTATATCAGTATTTCTCAGCCTTGGCAACTTTAAGATGTTGGCTGGCTGGGGAATTCTGGGAGTTGAAGTCCACACGTCTTAAAGTTGTCAAGGTTGAGAAACACTGGACTAGATTAGGAGGGCAAACGTGCATGCATACCTCTCCCTCTGTGTGTCCCTCCCTCTCATTCGACTGAGCCAATCCAGTTCCCCATATTGCCTAGAGAACTACAGACATCCCCCCATGAAACCAGGAAGAGTTAAGTCTAACTCGACCTTACCTTCCCATTTTTCCTTCCATCAACCTCAGAAGACTTCTGGCGCCGCTCTACCCAAGAGGCCACCCGCTTCTCTCTATGGTTGCTCTGCACCTCCCCAATCCGTCCATCCGGTTTGTGACTTTACCCAGCGTGCACTGCGGCGGAAGAAAGCGACGACAATAACAAACAGCGGCGGTGAGGGCTACGCGTAAGCCCGCGGGGCCCGAGACAGCCGGACCTTCTAAGTACACTCGCCGCTCCCGCGGGCGTCATCCCACCTTCTTTGGTCGACAGCCCCGTCTCTTCGCGCCGCTGCCGTCCCTCATACTTCTTTCCCCCACTTCTCCTCTCCGGGCGCCGGACCCTGAAGCTCTGTGTGGAGCCGCAGAGGAGGGGAGGAGCTCCCGAACCCGCCGGTGCCCGGCGCGGGACGGTGCCCGGGGCCGTCCAGCTGTTGCTCTTGGGATGGCCTCCATCTGTGAGTCGCGGGAAAGGGGGGTATACCGTGGGTCAGAGCAGCGCGTG